TTTGGGTAATTTGCGTGCTTGGTTCCTGACTTATTATTATTATTTTTTTAACTTGGAAGGTTTCTGCTATTTGTTTTTGTTACGTGTTTGGTCCCTATTGTTTATTTTTGTTACGTGCTTGGTCCTTGTCTTATCTAAAAAAACTATTATTTAAATAAGGAAAAATGATGGGGTAGGTAAGGTAATGCGAGAGGGTGGGGTTGGGGGTGTGTTTATTTAAATAAATTAAAAAAGTGAAGGGCAAAATAGTCTTTTTAGGTAAGACATGGACCAAGCACGTAACAAAAACAAACGGTAGGACCTTCCAAGTTAAAAAAATAAGTTAGGGACCAAGCTCGCAAATTACCCCAAACCATAGGGACCAGTCGTGTAATTTACTCTTTCTCTTACTTAAATAGTCGAAGGACCAAAATTGCACATTAGTGAAAGGTTTAGAAACGAAGAAAAAATCGGAGAGAAAAAAGCGAAGATAAAAAAATCGTGGTTGTAGTGGACGCCATCAGCCATTGTTATTCAAGCTTCGACCAACGCAGAAATGGCGATGGCTTCCTTGTCCCTCAATTCCTTACCTATGCAACCACCTTCTCAGCACTGTCGCAAACTCATTGATGCTCCATCATCAACTTCTCTTAACTACGGAACCGGCGGCGGCGGCGGCTCCTTAAAACCCATAGTCATATCCGGTGACCCTCCGACGTTCGTATCCGCTCCCGGTCGCCGCATCGTTGCCGGTTAGCTCTTATTGTTTCTCCTTCCCTGTAGAGAATCTTAGATATTTAAACTTAGTAATTCCTAAATTCAAATTGGATGTAGAATTTGATTTAAAAGTGTTCCTATTTGAATACTCTCTAATCAAAATGCACTTATCGATTAACCTTTATCAAATTTCAAGTTTCCTCATTTGAAAACTTAATTGCGATTCATCTCGAATGGAGATTATACTGTTCTTTTCGGTTGCGATTCAATTTACTTGTTGACGAATTAATAATTTAATACTATCTTCTTAAAACTTAAAGAGCTCTAGTGGATTTACATGTTGTTATTTGCAACATTGAGATTCGAAATTTATACATTGAATTCTAATTTGAATTATTGAAATCAATTGATTTGGTTGAGTACTATAATCATGTTAATAAATTACTGGTAGTAATCTTATATACATGTTATTAGCATATTGAATAGAAGAAACATCTCTATCTTTAGAACAAGGGAGCATTTGAATTTGATATATTGAGATGTTGATATGAAATCAATTCTTTCAGTTGGGGATTTGCATGGGGATCTTTCCAAAGCAAGAAGTGCACTTGAGTTAGCTGGAGTCTTGAGCGCAGATGGTAGAGATACTTGGACTGGCCAAGAAACAGTAAGCCTTTATCAACACTTTGATCATCTATGAAGTTGTATAAGTGATATGATTGTTTACATTTATACCCTTTGACCAGGTCTTGGTTCAGCTTGGAGATATACTTGACAGAGGTGAAGATGAAATCGCTATATTATCTTTATTAAGGTCACTGCAAATACAGGCTAAAGAACATGGTGGTGCCGTTTTTCAGGTTGGTTTAGAAACTATGTTTTTTAGTTATGTTATGTGAATATAGATGAATCTTAATAGCATCATTAGTTGACTTTGTACTTGTTAGGAAAATGGTCTCAAAGATCCCCAACAACCCGACCAGTGAAAAGTAATAGAGAAAAATTAACACAAGAATAATCATGTAGATTACTCCAAACCAGAGAAAAACCACGGGTATATTATGTATGGCAAATTATTACAATCACGTAGACAAATCTCTCAAGCCAGTCTCCCCAGTTACACCCACAATATCCAAAGATTTAACTCACTTTTATACACAAAAAAAAAAACAAAAGGAGAAAAGAAAAGAACCAAATACTTAAAGTGTATTCGCCTTAGACTCCGTTTATAGGCATGCAACCATTTTTCTTATGTATGCCCATGTGGGTGCTATGCACTCATACAATCAAATTTAAGAAAAAAAATCAAAAGATCAGTTGGATTGGATTCGAATCAAATGTTCGAGAGACTAGGGCTCTCCCAGAGCTCACGCTTTCAAAAATTCAGTTGCAATTTTCGATAACTGCTAACTAACACTCAACCAGCTACTGCTACTTAAGGTCTTGATTCTCTTACTAAACAAGTAAAAGACTTGATTACCCTTATTCAGTAGTAGTCTATGAGAAAGTCAAAGTCAACTCCTTTGGTCTAGCAATGGGACAAAATCCTTCTTTCATATTAGCCAAAAATCTCAATTGTACCATTGTTTAATGGTCTTAGGTGAATGGAAATCATGAAACTATGAACATTGAAGGGGATTTTAGATATGTTGATTCGGGGGCATTTGATGAGTGTTCAGACTTTCTAGAATACTTGGATGATTGTGAACATAATTGGGAAGATGCTTTCTCAAGCTGGGGTCAAGTGTCAGAAAGTTGGAAAGAAGAACGTAAATTGGCACAGAGTTCATGGGGACCATGGAACCTAGTAAAGGTAATTTTTGGTTATCATTATATTAATCTTAACTTTTGTAGTAATTATTATTATTATTATTATTATTATTATTATTATTATTTGTAATGATGATGATGATGATGATGGTGTATTGGTAATATTAGGACAGCGACAAAAGGGAGTAATTGCAAGATCGGTCCTTTTAAGACCCGGAGGTCCATTAGCATCTGAATTAGCCAGACATCCTGTTGTTCTTAAAGTTGATGATTGGGTGTTCTGTCATGGTGGCCTTCTTCCCCACCATGGTAAAAAAAAATTATTTTCATTAGATAATAACTATTTTATAATTATAATTTACACCACAAAAGCTCAATTTTCTCTTGGTGGTGTTTCAGTTACTTATGGCATAGAGAAGATAAACAATGAGGTATCTAAATGGATGAATAATGTTGGTGAAAATGACGAGTCACAAATACCATTTATAGCTACAAGAGGATACGATAGTGTTGTGTGGAATCGTTTATACTCTAGAGATACCACTGATTTAGAAGATTATCACATTGAACAGGTGACTAAAGTTTATTTCATGATATCAAGATGTTTATATCTGGGACTTGATGAAAACATGTTTTTTGTTACAGATTCAGTCTATACTTGACACTACACTTCAAGTGGTTGGAGCAAAAGCTATGGTGGTGGGTCATACTCCACAAACTACAGGTGTCAATTGGTAAGCAATCATCATGTTCATGTTCAAATGCTCAGATGGCACTAAAATCACCAACAAAATGTCTTCATGATAATTGTAGTATATATTTTATCATATGATAAAGTGACTTATGAATGTAATAACTTAAAGGGTATTTTGTATTGTTTGTAGTAAGTATAATTGTAGCATTTGGCGCATTGATGTGGGGATGTCTAGTGGAGTTCTTGATTCAAGACCTGAGGTAAAACGTACACCTTTTCTTTATACTTTTTTTTAATTATAAATATGTTTTGTAATGTTGTAAAATGTTTGACTTTCATTGACCAGGTTTTAGAAATAAGAGGCGATAAAACAAGGGTAATAAGGAGCGAATCAGAGACATTCAGTGAACTTCAGGCAGTTGATTATATGTAGATAAACCACAAGGTTCTATTACAAGCTTCTATTTTAACATAGTCCTAAACTCCAATAGTGGACTTAATTTATTAAGCTATATATGTGTTTTTGTTGACTTAATACAGAAATAACGACTTATTGGGCTGAAGATGAAGCCATGATATGATTTGTCCTGTGAAGAGCTGCATGGAGACGAACGGGTGGATGAATGTTTATTGGGTTTAAATTCATGGCACATAAGTAGTTTTATTGTAAAATAGAATGAAAAACTTGTTACTCTAGAAAAATTTCATGTCTATACTGGGGGGATATGTATATAAACAAAAGGGTACTTATGGAATAAAACTTGTTTGGTTGATGTATATTTACATGCCGACAAACAAGATGTAATCATATTACTTATCAATATTTGAAAGAGCCAAACAATTTGTTGCTTTTAGAGGTTACTTACTTGATTAATAATGTTAATAGGGTGCTTTTTATTTTTCTACAAACTTGGACATGTACATCTTGACGAATTATCTCTAAGGCCACCCTTTAGGATTGGCTTTAAGGGCTTTTTAATAACTAAGGTGCTTGTGTTTGACTTCTTATAAATAGTTATGATAAATGATTATAATACAAGGTCTATCATTATGTAGGTATGCCACTTCTTATAAGTATTGTATCCTAAAATAGACTTTGAACCAAGCCCATTATTAAGACCATGTTACAGCAATAAATTTGTTAGAGCACATTTCTCCTTTGGATACGGTTTTTTGCATATTTTTTAGAAAACAACTAAAGAAGTGGGGGTAAAATAGAACTCAATTGTAATTCAAGGGGTTGTATGTGTAAAGTTGAAATGATGACTTGACTAATTTTCTTTTTTATTTATTGAAACAATGATTTAACAAGTTAAATGATAGATTGGTCAGTTTATGTATTAAGACCATTCATTTTACAAAATTGCCCATAACTTTGTTTTTCCAATTTCACATTTTATTTTGGGTTTGAAATAAAAGGGGAAGAATTTAGCATTTATGTTTAAATCTATTAAAGAGTACATCCAAATTTGAGTTATCATTGATGCTACGTTTAAATTTGTGTTTAATTTAAGTTATTAACCATGTTGTGTTTACATGTAATTATATTTGTATCATTATTGATATCAAATAATTGTATATTTATTTCTTGTCCAATATCATTTTAGACAGATGGATAAAATAGCCATGTCCTTATATTAAAAGATTTCGTTTTATTTAACAATGAAACAAACTTTATATATAGATACTTATTTATCCATTAAACATATCATCCATGCAAAACTTAATAAGAAAAAAGAACCCTAAACTTGAACTCAATTTGATAGCTTGAGAAATCCCAAGGGGGTAAAGTGTCAAATTATGAACTCATATACAAAACATCAATCCAAACGTTGGCAGTTGGCATGCTCCATAGGACTTCAAGTTACCCTTGTAATCTCCGCTGCAATTTCAAAACCCTCATATATAAATTCAAAATCATTACCACTGATCACTGAATGCATGCTTGTTTCCCACCAATCTCTCATTTGGTTCAACTCCCCTCGATTTCTCAGACATTTCAATCTTAACTCAACAATGGCTTCATCTTCCCTTGTCCTTCCTTCGGTTTCGCTGAAGCATAAAGTGTCAATTGATGCTCTTGATTCGTATCCGTTGAGGAGCTCGTCTTCTCTTTGTTTTGGGGGCTCTAAGCATGGGTTTCGTCGTCTTAATTTGGATAAATCTAGGGTTTCTATGAGCGTATCTGTTGGATCTACCACTGCAGTTGATGATGCACTGTTCGCCGATTACAAGCCTACCACCGCCTTCCTCTTCCCTGGTCAGGTCAGATTCGAGAATTTAAAGTAGTTGATTTAGTTTCAATGTTTGAATTGGACTGTGATTGATAACAATTATGAAAACGATCTATGGAAATACTATTCTGATTCATTGTTAATGCTGTTAGCGATCAAATTGAACTTGCAAAGATGAAAATGCTATCATTGTTTTGATTCATGTTGAGCTACCGTGATTTATACACAACTGTTATGATTTTGAAGTAGCTAGAGATTTCACTAGCAATTAAGTATGCAACTTTGATTTAGGAATTAGGATAAACCATTTTGGTAGCAATCAAATTGAACTTGCAAAGATGAGAATGTTTTCATTTCATATCTCATTTTGTTTCAGGGCGCACAAGCTGTTGGAATGGGACAAGAGGCTCAAAAGGTGCCAGCTGCTGCAGAGTTGTACAACAAGGCAAATGAAATTCTAGGGTTAGCTCGATAATTCCTTTTCTCAAAACATGAGATTGCATCACATCACTTAAATTCATTTCTCATTTCTCATTTCTCATCCATTGTTCAAAATTTGAGCAAAAATAACTCATGTCATTGACTCAATCACCAATATGAATCTTTGCATGAAGGTTTGACATTTTGGACGTTTGCATCAACGGCCCAAAAGAAAAGTTGGATTCCACCGTATTAAGTCAGGCAAGTTTTCTAGGGCTATTTTTGATGATGAGCGTGAGAAGGGCATTCACGTCTTTTTGGGTGGGACAAAAAGCTGCAGTTTTTGTCCCATTGACATCAGTCTCAGTCCAATGCACACTAGATGCAATACAACTTGTTTTGTCTTGTTGACCTTAAGATATAAATTTTGCTTATTGGAATATCTTTTTCTTAAAAAAATTGCAGCCAGCTATTTATGTTACTAGTTTAGCTGCAATTGAGATACTACGTGCACGTGATGGAGGTCAACAAATAATTGACTCAGTGGATGTTACATGTGGGCTAAGTTTGGGGGAATACACTGCTCTTGCATTTGCTGGAGCATTTAGGTGAGCCATGCAATTTGATAGGATTCCAAATTCCATTATTACCCTTTTTTTCTTTAAAAAAAACCATTCTTTATGCATTTTACTATATTATTAGCTTTGAAGATGGTCTCAAGCTGGTCAAACTAAGAGGTCAAGCAATGCAGGTAAGCAAGTTCACAATACTACTGTTACTGTGTTCTTTGATAGTTTTATTAAATTTTTATGCTAAAAGAAATAAAATTTCTAAAAGATACAAATACGTTCAGGAAGCTGCGGATGCTTCTAGAGGTGCTATGGCCAGTATCATTGGACTAGATTCAGATAAGGTGCAACAACTTTGTGATGCAGCTAATGAAGAAGTTGAGGAAGCTGAGAAAGTTCAAATTGCAAATTATTTATGCACTGTAATGCTTATTACTATTTACTATTTTGCCCCTGTATATTATATAAAGTTTACATTTGGAAAATGAGAAATGATTCGGGGGGAAATGAATTGATGATTACCTTTTCAGGGAAACTATGCAGTTTCTGGAGGCGTGAAGGGAATTGAAGCGGTGGAAGCAAAAGCAAAATCATTCAAGGCTCGAATGACGGTATGTGTGATTGAATGGAATTGTTCATTCCATTGATATGAAATGTAACAACTCATTCCATTCCATTCCACCCTAGGTACGGCTTGCTGTTGCGGGGGCATTCCACACCAGTTTCATGAGTCCGGCATTGTCGAAACTGGAATCGGCATTGGCAGCAACCCAAATCAGAACTCCAAGAATTCCAGTCATATCCAATGTTGATGCACAACCACATTCCGACCCTGATACCATTAAGAAAATCTTGGCTCGCCAGGTAACCTTTCTATTTTGCAATAAATTTAAATAATAAAAAAATTAAAATTATTATATGATAGGTTACATCGCCTGTTCAATGGGAGACGACAGTGAAGACTCTCCTATCAAGGGGATTGGGAAAGAGTTATGAACTTGGACCTGGAAAGGTAAAAACCCTAAATCAGGTTACATGTCATCTTGGTGGTGGACCTAATTGAATTTTAAATCAGGTTATTGCTGGGATTGTGAAGAGAATGGATAAAACATCGCCCATTGAGAACATTATGGCGTGATGGAATATGAGCTTGATTTGTTGCTTTATAATAATCTTTGGGGTAAAGGGCATAACGGGGATTTTGAGATTTTATAGAGAAGATTAATGTGATGTAGTTGAGTTTTTGTGTATGGTTATAAGATTCGTTAGTAATTGTACCTGAATCATGATTATATGCTCTCTGAGTGATATATTTATAATGAGTATAACACAGCAACATGTGATCTCTTTATCCAATAGTTTGTAAGCGTTTTTCATAATTAACTTCTCAAGACGCAAGCCACTTGTTTGATAATTTGCGTTTTAAAAACAAAGTGAAGAATTGGTATTCAAGTAATGATACTTGTAATTATGTTGTTAACAAAATATTTGTTAAAATATTCCTAAGTATCATTAAAATACGTTACTTAGAATTAAACTTGGTCTGATTATAAACTTATAAGATAGGTATATAAAATGTTGACTTTAAATATATGTTTATTTTATTTTTAATTATTAACTTATTACATAAATCGTTAATCGTTGATGTTGAAATTTGAAAATATTACTTAGTGCAGTTTACTATTCTTGGAGGACATAAACAGATTTTTAGAGAAATAATTATGGATTAAAAAAAAAAAAAAACCATCTTAATGGTAAATAAGTGAAATAATAGTTCTAAGAAAGGACTAATTCAGATGTAAAAGAAATCTTAAAAGAATATGCTCAGAAGCGCTTTGATTCGAAATATCGAACTGCTGTAATGGACCCAACATCACATTGAGCGCAATATTCATCATGGCATAATAATTGCACCAGCCGGGAATCGAACCCGGGTCTGTACCGTGGCAGGGTACTATTCTACCACTAGACCACTGGTGCTAGATGTTCTACACGTATTTCTATAAATATATATACACATCAGCTATTTTCCCAATAATTACTCCAAAATCATGTAAAAGTTGAACATGGAGTTTAGCAAAAATCACGGCCTCACTGACATAATCCCATGGAAATAGAGTGCAACTGTGAAAAGAATTGCAATATTTCGCAAATTATTCCCAATTTGATATTTCCTAGTCCATTATCAAAAGAGAAAAACAAATTATATACAATAAATAAAACTTTAAACAAATAATAAATTAAATACGAAAAATACTAAACCGCAATCCTTCAGATTTAATTAGGTGGGGTTTTATATGCCATGAATTTCAAGGAATGTTCGATTTTGTCCATTGCAAGAAAGATATCAAATAAATGAACGAAACATTGGTCACTTTTTGACGATAAAAAGGTTTCTAAATATCTTGATGAATCGTTTATTGTTCATTGTCCTCAACTGATAATTCAATCTTATGTCAGGATCACACGGATTTTAATCTATAATAATCCAAAAGAGACATTATCATTTTTAGACACAAAAAGATCAAAACGAAAAACTTGATGAACGTGAAGATTGTGTAGATTCTTAGGTGCCCCGAAAGATGAAGTAGTAGGACGGTAGGAGTCCCAAAAGATGGAGCAATATGATTATATATACTTATACTATTCGAAGACATGATACAGATGATGAAAAATAACAGATGAGAATAATTTTCTAGACGCTGAAGGACAATTTGAGTTTTCCAACACAACAGATCAAACAATACCGTTGTCCGTGAAAATACAACATGGTTGTTCGTGGTAATATATTGTTCGTAGCAGTTTTCTATATATGTTGTACAAATATGATTAAGATTTATTCCTACAAAAATCCTAATATTTTGACATTTTTTTGCATCACACATTTTTTTATTTATAATGTAAACCAAAAGTATTAAATTTTTGTTTTTGCGATTTATTCATTGTTAAGAATGTAAACAAACTTTAATGTATTGTTCGGTAATATGTTTGTTTATCTAATAAACAAACTTGAACAATGACCTTAATTATTTATTTCGTGAACGTTCGTTTTTTCATATATATATATATATATATATATATATATATATATATATATATATATATATATATATATATATATATATATAATTTATGTTAATTTATGTTTTGTTAACGTTTCTTATTTATATTTGTTTAACATGTTAATGAAAAAAGACAAACAAACATTAACAAAGCAATTTTTTAAACAAACAAACACAAACAAGTAACTGTGTTTGTTTATGTGTTCGTCTGATTCGTTTACATCCCTATCCGTTTCACATGGTTCCGTCCGGTAAACAATATTTTCAAAAAAAAAACAATCAAAAAATAAACAAAGTCTTTGAATTCAACAAAAAAACTAATACAAAAGGATTAAATGATTTTTTTTTTATAATTCAGCATAACAATTTAGAGGTTAAAACTAAACAACATGTTGAAAAATCAAATCTTGTCATAGAACATGTTAATGTGACCCCCTTAGGGGATGATGATACACCTTATTGATTTTATAACTCTACAGCAATCATATTGAGGGGAACCGGGGGTGTAGAAGCTAGTTTTCGTAAGGCAAGAATGCTTAGAAAAAAAGTTGTTAGTAGTTGTATCTACCTTGTAGTTCCTTCTTATTATCCAAAAACAATTGGAGTTAATGCACTTTTGGCCTATTTTGTTGATCGATAAATTGCATTCTTTTATGCACTTTCTTGCTAACAAGCATAACAGTCCCTAGCGGCCTATACGCCATAAATATGAAGAAATGCAACAAGACTTGTATCGAAATGAGATTACCTCTCTTTCAATCATCGGAAGTGATTTTATATCCTTTTCTAATGCAATATTTTCAATCGGATCTGATTCGATCCACTTTGTCTCAATGATCAATGATTGAGGAAGGTTTCCCCTTTGATGCATCCTGATTCCCTATCTTGAAATGAAGGTGTCATCGGTTGACATTTACCATTGAAAAAAGAATCCTTCCATGAATGAGAAGGTTAAGTTACATTATAGACTTTGATGACTTTCTCAAGGAATTCTCGAAAGTTCATTAATCTATGGTTAGATGCCCCACTCGAACTCTATCACATACCCTAATGCTAAATCGAGTCTACCTTCTTAGAAAAAAAAGACGGATGCTTGGGAAGCTATGAAGAAAAGAAGTTGGGGTCCTTCAAGCAACTGATTTCTTGTTTGCTTCCATGACTTATGCAATGAACATTTCTTCAACCCGCTGCTTAGAGGATTATATATCGACCATCATAAACTAACCCAAACGTAGCAATGAATGTAAAAGACTTTGCTACAACCTAAGAGAGTTTTATGTTATAAAATGTCAAAAAATTTGAGCCTTTTTACAAACTTCTTAAAGAGGGAAAACAACAAGATGACTTCAAGGAGAACGTTGAGACGCCATCGGTTTCGTGAGGCCACTAGATCTTATTGTAGAGGAGATTTTGTAACTCCTATCAATGTGGAGTGAGACATATTTCTTGTTACTATCATAATGTTTGGATGAATACTGCCGGGGAGTGCAAAATAGAGGGGCTGAAGATGGAAGAGACCAGCCAAAACATAATATACACGTACCACAATACATTAACCAAAAACTACGTCCATCAAAAGCTATCCTACTTCAAAACAATCAGATTATCTTCAAAAAGCTCGACTTTTAAGACTTAATAAACCAAACATGTTTATGTAACAAAAAAAAAAAAAAAAGGTTACGCTCAGAAGCACTTTAATTCGAAATATCGAACTGTTGTGATGACCCAACATCACATTCAGCGCATCTTTCATCATTGCATAGAAGTGCACCAGCCGGGAATCGAACCCGGGTCTGTACCGTGGCAGGGTACTATTCTACCACTAGACCACTGGTGCTTTGGTGACTGTCAAACCCAAATAATATATATTATCGTTCATTTATAAATAAAGGATGACGTGGCAAAATGTCTATCAAACCTCTGCATTCAAACACACCCATCCTTGCTGTGTAGTGATTGTGTGTAAAATACGAACCGCTGAGTAGCGGTGGTCGGAGTCTGACGACTGGAAATGGCAGTCACTGTTTCTTATTCTCGTCATCATCAATTTTTATCTTCTAATAATGGAATTGCAATACAACTTCCCAGCAAGAAACTGATGAGCTTCATTCGTTGTTCCTCTCCACAATCCACTCCTATTGTAAGGTACTTCTAATTCCGCAATCCCCAATTCAATTGTAAATTTTCAATTCCATTCCTTCTGAGTCGCCATTTTCTGATTAAAATTCATTCACTGTGTTTCTGCTCCATGAAACGAATTCCGTTATTGCTTGCTAGTGTTGATAGATAAGATGTTAATTTACAAGGAACTCCTGAGTCATGATTGTTTGTTGTTTTTGTAGGCCTGAGTTGTCTATTCGTGTTGGAACTCAACTCATTCCACACCCCAAAAAGGTATACATGTTCCTCTTAGTGTGGGTATGAAATCAATTTTGTTCCCCATTGGATCATTCTTTCTATGTTAATCTGTTTGAAGGTTGCAAAAGGTGGGGAAGATGCTTTCTTTGTGAGTAGTTACAATGGTGGAGTTATTGCTGTTGCAGATGGTGTTTCTGGGTATTATATTGCTTTCTTTCCTTTGCCATTCATGTTAAGCAATTTTGGAGCTCACAACTTTAAATTTGTGAACAGTAAACATTGAGCTAAACTGCATATAACCTTTTGATTTTCAATTCGTGATCCTTTTTGTGGTAGGTGGGCTGAAAAGGATGTGGATCCAGCACAATTCTCAAGAGAACTTATGAGAAAAGCTTCATCTTTAGTTGAGGATGAGGAGGTATCTTCATCATTTTATTATATAATATTATTAGAGGAACAATAGCCATGTTTTTTTTTTTTTTTTTTTTTTTTGTGATTTCTTATATCTAATCCCTATAGAAATGATGTTTATATTAATGTTGTTATAGGTTAACTATGATCCACGGATTCTTGTTAGGAAAGCACATGCTGCCACCTCTTCCACAGGTTCAGCTACTGTGTATGTTTTGGCATGTATTCCAATTCATCACCAATCACTTACACGTTTAGGCTTTTTGTTGATGAGGGCATTTACGTCTTTTTCAAAGACGAGTTATTCCCACCTTTTTGGGTGGGACAAAGTTGCAGTTTTTGTCCCATTGACATCGGTCTCCTGTATAATAGACATGTTCCCAATATTTACATTAATGCTTTTGGGTTTGTAGAATTGTTTCAATGCTAGACAAAAATGGAATTTTGAAGATTGCCAATGTTGGGGATTGTGGGCTCCGTGTTATTCGCAAAGGTAACACAAGATTCTATGAAGCTCTTATCTCTTACAAATATCTTTAATCAGTGATATGTTTTTTTTTTGGTATAAATCTTGAACCTTTTAGGCCAAATAATCTTTTCCACGTTTCCACAAGAGCATTATTTTGATTGCCCATATCAGTTGAGCTCAGAGGCAGTCACCCAGACATATCTAGATGCCACGGTATACAAAATTATCAAAACCTTTTTTTGTATAAAAACAAATTTTCAAACTTTTTTACCTTGTAAAAAAAAATAAAAATACATGTGTGTGTGCAGGTTACAAGTGTGGATTCAATGAAGGGGGACATTATTGTGATGGGTTCAGATGGTCTTTTTGATAATGTATTTGATCATGAAATTGTATCTACAATTGCCAAACATCAAGATGTTGTGGAGGCTGGTAACTATTTCTTGAAAATCCTTTTTATCACATTTTCTAGAATAAGCAACTGATGTTAATGGAATATATTTTTGGTTTGAATGGTAGCAAAAGTATTGGCTGATCTTGCTTACAAGCATTCAGTGGACTTCTACTTTGAATCCCCGTATTCACTTGAAGCTAGAACCAGAGTAAATTTTTAACAAATCTGTCCTCATTTATTTTTCCTTTTTGGAAAAAAAAAAACAAAAGGTGTAAATTGTACGTATTTGTTATGCAGGGGTTTGATGTACCATGGTGGAAAAAACTTGTGGGACAAAAGCTAACAGGCATGACTAATGGCATTTTAGTAATTAGTAGTAGTTGTATATAGTTTCATGGATATTGTCTTGAACTTTCTAGAAGCTGCAAGTGGAAGAACAATATAAGGACTGATGGTTATGGTTACTGTGCAGGTGGAAAGATGGATGATATAACTGTAATAGTCGGTGAAGTGGTAAGCAATTGACTGAATCGATCATTGCATCAATGGGTATTGTTCATATGTCAAGAGTAATATAGATTTGGTCAATGTATAAACATCCAACAAATGTGTACTTTTAAACTTTAGGTAAGGTTTTGAAAAGAATTGATACAAATTGTTGTATTATTGATTGCTTGTTGAAGTTAAAGTTTGAAAATAGAACAATTGAACAAATGGAAACCCCTTCCACCACCATATTCAGAACTTTGTTGTTTGACATTGATATAATTTCTAAAATTGATAAATTGTTTGTGTATCACAAAGAAACAAGGTTCAAGACCAACTTTTATCATGTCTTTTAATTCATTTATCATTAAATAAGTTAATTTTGTTAGTCAGATATATTAAATTAACTAAAATATAAACGAATTTAAACAGTCAAAAATAACGAAGAGTGTTCAAATAATTACAACATTCGAAATCATTTATTCTGACAATTTATATTATCATTTCAAAGTTTAGTTTTTTAAAGATAACTAACACATTAATAAATCAAACTACACATTTAAAACATCTACTACTAATCAAGCACTAAAACTTTATTCAACAACTAACATTTCACTTGCATCCGCAAAAATCCAATAATATAGCAGTGGTAATGGACAGTAAGAAAAATTTCCTGCAAAACTTACAGATAAATCTGCATGATAAAAAAAAAAATATAACTCAATAGATCTGGATAAATAATTTTGAAGCCAATAAACAACAATACAGCTCAGGCCATAAACAATAATGGCATACCCTTCTTCTGTTTTGCCTCAATCACACCAATTTGAGTCTGATTTGAAGCTCATCAGAACAAATATAACAATTGGAAGCATTAGCACTCACTCGGGGTAGGAGAAGTTGATCTTTCTTTTCTTTTCTTTTCTATGTGAGAGGAGAGGAGTGTATGTGTCTTGAATCTTGATGTAACAACAAGAGAAAAAGTGAATGTTGACTTTTTTTTTTACCTATACTCTTAGGTCATTCTGCTACTTCTATCATCGGTATTTATGTCTTGAAAAAATGATTTTCCAGCTTCATATGTTGACCAGCAAATGGCTGCAGCTGGAGCGTGAAAGAGCATCCTTGGCATCCATCCCCTGAAAAGCCCTCTGTATCCATCTTTTCTCAATATTGTTCTTAATACATCCCTAATTGAACCATTTGCATATCTATCACATCCACACACACCCTGTCATTCATTCCAAATTCCAAATCAGATATATTTCATCATATATGCATAGTCTTAGTCAAGTATATAACTTTAGACATCACTAAACAAGATGGGATAAAGATACTTTTGAAGTTCAGATATGACAAAAAGAAACAAGATAAATAGATTTTTCAACATCTTCTTTATGTACAAACAAACCTAATTACCAAATATTTGAACTTTATAAGCATAATAAAACAGATTAATTCTTCTTTCTGCAACAACTTATTAAGCAATTAACAGGAAATTAAGAAGATTTGTGGAAGAAATACCTGACACTGCAACTGAGTCTTGACAACATCAAGTGGAGTAGTGACAGCAGCAGCCAATGCTCCTGCAGCTGCACCAGCAGTAGCGTGAACCACCAACCGTTCATCACTGGCACTATTCGGTGAGACACCCAACAAACCCCTCTTCGCCGCCTCATAGGTCGCAAAATGGACAGCCGTGAATGGCGCATTCATCAAAATCGTTGTTCTATACGAAGCATAAAAAGCCCCAAATCCTTCTTCTTTCAACACTGTTCTTATACAATCGAACACACCTTTATACGGACTCTCACTTCCTAACTGCAGCCTCTGCTTCACCATATCCATTGGAGTAAACACTGCATCACTTGCCACAGTCGCGAAAACCCCCGCCGCCGCATGAGCTGCCGGATTATTTGGGTGCTGCCTTGAAAACGTCTCTTTACACATCTCGTATACGGAAAAATAAACAGCGTGTGCCGGACCTGCACCGAGTCCCATCGCTCCGATTCCACGGTACAGACCGGCGGGACCATCGGACTTGAGTATCGACTGAAGAGCTTGTCGGAGTCCAGCAGATTTAATGGGGCATGATCCTAATACTTGCATACGGGTTTTAATTGTGTCAATTGGGAACATGGCCATGTGTTCGACCATGCCGGCGATGGAACCAGCGATCATAAACTGCCAAAAGTGCAGGCCGTCGTGCTGCGGCGAGACGGTTATCTCCGGGTGGTAATCTGGTGGTTGTGGGATCGGTATAAGGTCGGATTTCTTGAATTTTGCTGCTTCTGTCGTCGCCATTGGAAAAGAATAATAAAGAAAATTGAAATTATTACACAAATGAACACGAAAACTGTGAACAAGAAAAGCTGAAAAATTAGGGTTTTGACATGGTTTCTTTGCGATTCATGATATGTCCGCAACTCGAAGGGACACAAGAGAATTACACAAATGATCCCTATATAATCTTACTATTCAGTTTCCGTCCTTCTACCTTTTGAGTTTACAATATGAGTAATTGATTTCTAAACCAAATTTAGTTACATATAATTTACAACCTTCGTGGCAAAATAATAATGATAAATAAATAAATCATCTTTTTTAAAGTTAAATGATTTTGACAAACTTTTCTAATTCTTTATACATATTAATTCCCTGTTCCCTTATGAACAGTTTCATCCTCCTATCCGTTATTTATTTTTTATTTTTTTTGTTTGATGATGGAAAAACTTTTTTTTTATAACATCTTTCTTTTATGTCCTTGGGTTTAGAGTTTATGTTGTACTGGGGCTTGGTTGTGGCAATCCTCTTTCTACGTGTTTCACAATGCATCATCGTCTCCTGCCTCCTGACTCATCCTCAATCTTCGTCGTCGTTCTTCATTTCTTTCGCTTCGTCTCTTTTCGTCTTCCTCCAGGTAATCCCTTTTATTTATTTATTTATTTATTTTCTGTTTGCTTCTACGTCATTGTTGTACTTCCTCTATATTGGATTTTTATTTGCATTATGCCTACACGAAAGCTCCCTTACTCTGCTTCATCATCTTCTACATCTGCTGATGGTTTACTTCGAAGGTCTCGCCGTCGGCGGCTTGTTGATGCTTCCGCTAACCAGCTCAGGTTTGCATATTGTCTTCAAATTCTTTTCATCTGCTTTTATTGTTCGTATTCGTGGTGAATTTTTTGACTTTTTTATGTTTTGTTTGTCTTTATTTGCGCAGGGAATGTGATCCATAGGTCCACGACACCTCACTTGCCTCCATCATAACCCATAAACAAGGATCGATTATACCCCAACCACTGGATGTTAAGATTTGAAAGAGAGTTTTACTACGCACCCCAACAGCTCGATGAAATGCTTGAACCAACCCTGTTCCTTGAAAGACAATAATAGAGCAACATGGGAGAAATTAGAGCCAGTCAACATTGTGTACTGGGATCTTAAAGGTCAAAGAAAGTAGTGTTATCACACATTAATGGTGATGTTCCTTCTTCACAGAATGAGCCCCTTTGAAATGGTTGTTTATGATACTGACAAATCATATTTTTCTCACATTTGTTACTAGAGTCGATGTAAATTTAATTTGTATGTTGTTTCAAGTCAAGCATGACACCTTCATTCTAGTTTATTTGTTACTCCCTTGATAATATAAAAATTGATGGTTTTTGTTAAACCGAGGTCTCTTAAACTTTATGTTGTATGATACATGAAACCATAATTTACTAACTTTATCTCTTTTATTCTTTTATGTATTAGACTGCAAATGTAGATGGTCAAACAAATCTTAAAATCAGGAAAAGTTTAAGGAAGACATTGGACTATTTGACACTTGTGAAAGCCTCAGTAGGTTTAAATACTTTTTGTTTTAGAGACCAAATGTTTATGTATTTTGATTAAGTATATTCTCAAAGTCACAAAGATTTCTATGTGATCTTTGAATGACAGAAATCAACATAAATTTTCAATGAACTCATTCATTCAATCATATTTGATTTCAACTTTTGAAGTAACAATGTATTCTTATATATATATATATATATATATATATATATATATATATATATATATATATATATATATGCTAACATCCCAAAATTCAAGACAAAAATTTTTCATTTTTCAACATAATAATTATAAAACCATTTGTCTGAAAACAACCATAGCATCAAATCATATCAAAACCAGAGTATCAGTGGTCAAATCATATCATGATAAAACAATGTCAGAGTACAAATCCCAGAAATCTCCGATGCGGAAAATCGTGTGTGTGATGCGTTGCTACCGTGCCGGCTCCTTTCCCTTCGAAGAGGAAGTACCTGAAACCAAAATGGAAAACTGTAAGCACAAAGCTTAGTGAATTCCCCCATCATACCACATACCATAACACATAATGCCTATCCCTCGGTATCTTTCAACCGGTATCCGACTGGCATAACTGGAAGCTGGACTCCCATTCGGTATCTTTCAACCGGTAACTGGGAGCTGGCATCCCCTTCGGTATCTTTCAACCAGTAACCGGGAGCTGGCCTCCCCTTCGGTATCTTTCAACCGGTAACCGGGGACTATTTCACCCCTACCACTACCACATAATATGTAACGCCCCGATTCTCGAATATCAATTTATGGTGATAAATTCTCATGAATTCAAGGTCTACTCGACGAGTTGGTTGCCTGACTCGTCGAGTAGCAGCGGGTTAGGCCGCGCACTTAAGTTACCTACTCGCCGAGTCCAAGAAGGGACTCAACGAGTAGGAGTTGGAGGATGAAACCCTAAATTCCGGGGTTTTGCACCCTATTTAAAGGATCATTTGCCCCTTAGCCTCCCTTTGCATCCTCTAGAGAGTTTAGTAAAACCCTAATACGCGTGTGTGTGTACTCCATTTGTGTGTTTCAAGCCTTGGAAGAAGATTCTTAGAGAAAGGAACTTGAAGATCAAGTAGCTAGCAGCAAGGAGCTTGTGTGGACCTAAAATCTACCTCAGTTAGCACCATTTGAAGGTATCAAGTCGTTACCTTGACCTTATTTCCTTCAAGATCTCTTTTGGGTTGAAGATTAGGGCTTTTCATCATGTTATGAAGCTATTCTTGGGTATGAGCTAAGATCTGAAGTTGCAACTTCAGATCTAAACTCTCCTTGGTCTTTAGGTCCATAAAGCTTGCAGCTTTAGCAAGTATGAACCCTTCCTTTTGAGTTAAACTCCATTTCAAGTTTAGACTTGGCATTATGAGTCATTAGAGCCTTGCATGCACGTAAAGTTTGCAACTTTACGTGATAAACATGCATTGGGAAGCTGGATCTACAATTTTGAGCCTTAGCATGACTTAAAGTCGTCTGTATGAGTAAATGACTGAAGAGACTCGGCGAGTTGTATGAACGACTCGGCGAGTCCAATGAAGATTATCGCAGACTCGGCGAGTTGTATGAACGACTCGGCGAGTCCGATGAAGGTTGTCGTGGGCTCGGTGAGTCAGTCTAGTGACTCGGCGAGGGTTTTCCCAACCTCTGGACACGTATGAACGCGGCGAGTTGTAAAGGGAAAACTTGGCGAGTTGGCCAGGGAGTTACGGCCACTGACACTAGGAACTCGACGAGTCACACGAGTGACTCGTCAGGTTAGCGAGTTATGCAAGGAACTCGGCAAGTAGCTAAGAGTACTCGACAAGTTAAAGTCAACATGGACTGTGGACCTTGACAGTTGACTTTGACTTTGACCAAGGGTTGACCAGTTGACTTCTGAGGGTATTTGGTAAATTGGATATTTATAGCAAAGGACATTGGTGAATATAGGTGTTGGAGTTGGAGCTACATTTGCAGGAGTTTGGCACTACCTTCCGAGCTACTTGCGAGGTGAGTTATCCTCACTATACTAAGGGGTCTAAGGCACCAAGGCCGGCCCATTGGATATGTTATCCTAGCAGTGTTAGAATGTTGAGTATGAGTAGTGCTGCATGTTAGTGGCTATGCCAGTTAGGTAGATCTGTAGGACTACCTGTGTTGTTATATGATTATCTGTATGCTCAGTGGTTATGTTATATGTTGATATGTTATGTGGGGTGGGTTGAGGTGATACTGCTCCGTGCGGTAACCAACAAACCCGGGAGCATTCCAGATATGGGCTAAGGGAGACTCGTACTGTGGGCTCGATGGCAAGCCAGATGTTAGTTGTGGGCCCGTAAGGCAATCCAGACTCACACTGTGGGCCCAGGGGTGATCCAGTCTGTAAAGTTCTGGACCCAGTACATGTTGTTGTTATTTATGTATATGTGTTATGTGCAGTGTATCGGTATTTTTGGGGGAACTCACTAAGCTTTCGGGCTTACAGTTTCAATTTATTGTTTCAGGTACAACGGATGACTGCGGGAAGGCGAAGGCGTGACCGTACACTTCCTCATATTTTGATTTTGATTTATAGGATACTCTGATATGAAACTATTTTGAAAACAGATTTGAAATAGCTAACGGCTTTGAATGATTTAAAAAGTTTTAAATTGGCTTGAATTTTATGGATGTTACAAGTTGGTATCAGAGGCTTGGTTTGAGTGAATTGGAGGAACATTCGTGTGAATCCAGTCTCAAACTAAGGAAAATGTTTTGAAAATAATTTTCGAATGGTTTTCAAATAATAAAGGAGGATGCAAGTGTACGATCAGCCGGAGCCAGTAAGTAGACCCCAAAATACCATGCAAGTTATTTTGATATTATGTGATGTGTTAGAACAACATGTTAGTAATAATATAGGGATCCTCAGAAATCGTATGATAGAATTTCCTGATCTATGATGCCTTATCTTATGTAGAGTACCTCATTGATTGTTTGTGACTCTTTCGCGTGTGAACTAACTATTGGGTGAATACTCTAAGTCACATGCTACATGGGTTAAGTGGTATTAGGGTAAGGGATTTGGTCCTGCTGCGCAGCTCTTGTCTGAGTCCAACCGTTGTGGGATTAAATCTTTTAGTCTAAGATTGTTTAAGCCGTGTGGTATGTGATTGTATTCATGCAATAGTTAACTGGCACCAATGGAGGGTCGTGTGGCAGTTGGTGGATGAGTGGGTAGTGAGAGGCCGGGAGGCCAGTTATGAGATATCTATCATTCCTCTAGGAGTGAGGACTTAGCGCTCTCTATGTATATGTATATTGTAGGGAGTTGTGGTGATACTTGAGACAAATATGGGTAGGTGTGGAAGGTAGTATGGGCCCGTACTACTGAAAGCACAGGACCCATACGCGTGTCAAGGAAGTCACAACCCCTAGGGTTGGGTTGGGAGTTGGTCCCCTGTCATTATATGGATTATCAGAGATCTTTCTGGTGTCTTACCAGAATGGTGGTTACGAGGCGTCTTGAGATCGAATCTAGGTTAGGATCGGGAGCTGGCAGCCAGGATAGGCCAGCATTGTCAGAGGACCGTGTCAGTGAG